CTTTTGAAAGACCTTTGAAGAGTCACATGCTCTGAAGCATGTGTTAAAAGGTGCGTCTTCGCCGCTCTCAGGAGAAGGCGGTCGGTTCGTTGCTTTCCCGCTCTGCCCTGTGGAGTCTTGGCATCGAGGCATTTCCCATCCAGCAGGCTCATGGTGATGGTCCAACAAAAAGTCCAACACATGCACACAGCTAGGCAATGCTAGGCATAAGTACAGCAATTCAAATGATCCGTGTCAGTTATGTTTGCGTTGTGTTTGGTGAAGTCTGCAGTCGAACAGAGCACGTGTTCATGTTGCATCATGCTGCTTGCACTTTAAGCTCTGCGCTGGGGAGTCGAGAAGACGAAGGTTCACTCCGAAACTGTTGTAAGGAGTTTGATCTACTTCCCCTACGTCTTACCCACATGCTGCTGGGCCAAAGATGGAAGCCGTTGAGGCCATAGAAGCGTGAGTTCCTTCAGACTTTTTTGCATCCGAATCTCATTTTGGATGTCATTGATGAATCTTCCTCCAACAGTATAGGTTAAGGTAACTTGTAATGAATCAATGGTTTTGTGGGAATCACTTTGTGAATCACTTGGTTGGTCTTTTCGGACTGCCCCTCGGGGCATATTCATCAAAGACCCATGATGTCAAGAGAGCCACATCATTTGGTGTTGACCATTCACCAACTGTCTCAGACGGCGTTCGCCTGCCATCCGCCTTATGCATGCCACCTCCACTCGCGTGGACCTCCACTCGCTTGGACTGCAACGTTGAGGTACCAAGCGCTTCGGCTGCCGAACCTGTGCAGCCTTAATGAGTGTCATTGCATGCGGCTTAGCGATCGCCCTGCCCTTTGCGCGGAGCATGCCCCTGGTGAACGTGCTGCACATGCTGGCGAGCTCGAGTTTTCAATCTCAAGCAGTGCCTGGGGTCCAGTGATAGTGGAGTGCCACTGAGCTGTGTGTTTTTCCCGGGATCATTTGCCATGTTGTATCGGATGATCATTGGAGGGGTGAAGAAGGGGCAATGTCGGTGACGAAGGGCCTGATATCCTCCTCAAAACCCGCTTAAGAAGCTTCATATATAGCATCATATGTTTCTTGTAAAATGGCCCTCCGGCCATCCATTTTGCCAGCTTTCTTGACCTGCAAAACCTCCGGCCTAACCAGACGTTCCGCGTGTAGCGCGGAACGGCCCGGACCTCAGGCGCTCAACGTGAGCTTCACCAACAACGCGGCAGGAACCGAAGGCCGCGCGCTCGTCACGGGGGTGGCGGTGACCTGTGAGACCCTGGGCGCCTTGGAGCGACGGAGAGGAGAACGACGGAGAGTCGCCGACTGAGGTGGTTGGGGCGTGATACATAGAATATCGAAATACTGTATATATCAATAATAATCAACATGGTAGTTTAATACAATATATATATATATATACTTGTGCTTAATGTATTTCTGTGTGTTTTTGTGGATCAATAAGGTACTAATTATAGGTAGACTAGACTCTAGACGAGCTTTGGGGAGTACTTATCATGAGTATTTGGAGCAGCAAGTTGCCACCATCATTGCTCGCCCGTCTACACACAAGCCCGTCTTTTGTAGCGTTTTGAAGTATCCACAGGCAATGGCAAGATTTGGTCACTCGGTGATGGGTGTCGGCTTACGTGCACACTATTATTTCAAGTCTACTCACTCCAAGGTAAGGCCTCAGCACCCGTGGTGATGTCCTACCTATTCGCGGGCTTTCTGCGACACTACGGGGAAGCTGGACATGGCCTAGTTTTTTTCATCATGGCGTGGGGTCCCAGTTTGACCTATGCGCAGGGACGGGATACATAATGACTATCAACAATCCATGCATAGTGCTGTCTACATGCCCAAATCCCAACAGGTTGTTCACAGGCACACACTGTCTAAAACTACTCAAACCAGGTATTGTAATGTTTAATTGCTGTCCATTTTTTCTAGCATATTGACCGCAGTTTGCAGTTTACCAGCGGGCGCGACTCGTTCTCGCAATGAGAAGCAAGTAACTGTCTGAGCAAAAAGGCCCAGGCCAAGGCCGAACTACTCGTAAGATGCTCATAGGACCCCCCAACAGATAGACATGGGCATGATGAGAGGGTATTCAACTTTTTCTTGCTACTGGATGGCAAACTTGCAACACATCCAAAAAGAACCCCAGGCACCAGGCATACATATTAAGGCCTATTGATTCCTGTGTCATGAGCTGAATTGATCATGCGCGGTGTATGCTTATAGGTGAGCCTTGTATTCATCAGTCCTGCCTACCCCGACCTTTTAGCATTCATTCTTCGTGAACTCATTAGGAAAGGTCCTGCGGAGCAGGGATCAAGACCGTGGAATTCATGCAATGGTAGACCAACAGCATCAGATGGCACTAAAGGGTTTTGAGTGCCATGTAATGACTGCTCTAGAGCCCGTGTTTCATCCCACCTCTTTGGGTGGACCAATCCGACCCAACCACATACTGCAAAAACTCCCTGTAGATGTTGTTACGATCAAAGAGTTGCGAACAGGGCATAATATGCCGAGAAACAGACATCAACAGTCAAGCTTAGCATCATTTCCACTCTACCCCACTCCCCACCATCTGGTGAGTCTTTTGCGCGGAGCCTGGCAGGCAGCGCTGTCAGTGATGGAGTTGCTGTGCACCTTGGCTTCCGTGCTCAGCCGGCCATCACTCTCCGGATATCAAGTGTCCGGGGAGGTGTTGTGTGAAGACATGTGAAGAAAGAGCACTTGTCTTATCGTTATGTAGACTCCTGATGAATAGAACCACCCACTTTGGATTGAAGAACCTCTTCACATGGTGGTTTGTATGATGCAATCACTACATGATGTTCTAACTTTGAACTTGGGAACCGGAAAGGGGTTTCCAAAGATCAGAAGGAGGTGGCACTTTTTGGCACGAAGTGCTGCAGTTCTCAGCATCCTAAGAGGTGCTTGAAGACCATTCTGCAGGAAGACCTCTGAGACTGCATGTACATCTTTAGTTTCTGGGAGTGTGTGAGCTCATAATGAGTCATATATGAGCTTTGAGCTCGGCACTGATCAAGCCAAGGCACCTTGTGTCTTCCATCTTCCGTGGAAGATGCCTGGGAGCATGAACGGGTGCCAGTGGAGCATGATCCGGTGCCAGCAGAGAAAGCCTCTTGGACAGGAATACAGGAAGGAACTGATCTCGAACTCTCAGCATCTCCCAAGAGCCCCCTTTTGACAAACCAAACGAACCATACCCCAAGGTGATGTGTTTACATGTGTTTGCCAAAGTTGGTATACTCGGCTCTGATGGACATACCCATGGAATCCTATACTGTTCCCCTAAGACTGGAGGTTCTTGGATCTTCTTCTTGATTGATCCACTGCCAATTCATCATTCGCGACAATTGGGGCAAACGAACGTCGACGACAGAGAGTTCCCATGTGTCACGTTGGTGTTCTTCACCAGTGCTCAAGAGGCCCCTTTTGCTATACATATTGTGCGGCCAATTGTTACAGTGGTTTCAGAGTAGATGGCACAGACCCCAAGATGTACTTTAAATGGGGGTTCATTTAAACCACCTCTTGGGGTGTGTACCATCTACTCTCAATCCACAATATTTGAGTTGTATTCTACAGCACTACCGGGCATGCCCTCACCCGATCAGGTGTGGCTTTGGAGTGACTTCCTTGTTGTCATTTGGAGGGGTTCTGCTTGGGATCGAGTTTGGTGGGGCTGTCAGGCCGTTGAGCTGACCCCTTTGCAGGTTGAGCCATTTCGGCTGCCTGTGAAAGATCCTCCTTGAAACGATCCTGTCATCAGATAAGGAAAACAGCAGAAACTCCTGTGTACTGACTTGGTCATGTGTGTATGAATAGATGTAGCTTCCGTCAAGGGATGGAGGCAAGACCAATTTCAATGTGTATATATATATATACGTATATAATCGTATATACTTTTATAAAGCTTCATCAAATGTCACCAAAAAACATCACACTGGTCGTTTCAGAGGTGTTTTGGGAGTGTCCCAAGCCTGTGACCTGCCGTTTCCGAACGCCAGGTTCTTCCGGCCAAGATTGGGCTGGAGAATCCTGAGATGAATGCCCTGCACCGGAGGGTTTCAGAATAGGGACGTTGGCCCAACAAAGATCGAATGCCATCGACCATCTTTGGCCCGGTTTGTTTTTGCTGCACACGTTTTTCTCGTGAGCTCCAGTCGTCGCGATGGCGCGCGCGCAGCATGTCGTGGAAGTCAAGTGGAGCGCTGCTCGCGTGATGGAGCGCCGCTCGGGATGCCAGGCTTTGACCAAGTCGAGTCCAAAGAAGGCTTGAGCCGTTTTGCGCCCGGCGATCATGGAAAAAGATCCAGACGCTTTTGTGCACAGGGCGCCTGGTGTGTCCGAGCTCCGTGAGACATGGTGAAGATGGGTGAAGAGTTGTCACCCATTGACCCATTGTTCTTTGTTTCCTCCAGGTCCACCTGCATGGAGAGACAGCGCGTGCTGGCACCAAGAAATGCAGTACGTACTGTAATTACTCGGCATGTTTTCCTTCTATTTCTGGAGAAGAAGAAAAAGACTCCAGCTGTGGTGAAGTGTTCTTATTGGCGCTGCCCATCGCCGGTCTTTTATCTGGCGAATTTGTACGGGATCAATGAATGGACCTCTTTTGTTGTTGGAGATTTCCTGAACCAGTCTCACTTGGTTCCATGTCGATTCCCTAACAATTCTGTGGGACTTCTCTCCGACTCGCTAACATGGAAGTGGAAAACCCTTTGTAGTCTTCCAAGGGACTATTTTCCACTTCCATGTTAGTGAGTCAGAGTGCATTATGTGTACATCCTGGAAGACTAACATGGACACTGAAAACCACTGGTTGGTAGAGGAAAACAATCTTCCAGGGGGCCATTGCCAGGGTCCATCTTAGTTTTCGGGAGTGTAATCATTCAAGACCATTCAAGACCCCTTTTCTCCACTTTCCTTCCGGCTCCGCGCTCGCTCCGTGCCACTCTCTAGGTTTTGCATCAAGGGCCGTGCTTGCTCCTTCGTGTGCGGGGCCCTGGGGAGAAGTCCGGGAACTCATCAACATCAGTGCAGCATTCACCAACAGCACCATCCAAACATCCTCACCGCCGACCGGCTGAGCCTGAAAAAAGAGAAGGTGAGTATAATGATATGTGATTATGGCTTCACAGATTATGGCTTCACTGCCTATGGCCGTGACGGACAGGGACCGCAAGTCGCGCTGATGGACGGCTTATGGAGGGCTTTGGAACTTTGGCAATCAACCGTTTACGTCACTGCCGCGACCGAGGCCGGGCCAAGAGCGGGTGGCCGAGGCGTGGCTGAAGAAAGAGGTGGAGCAAACCACTGGGTTAGTAAAGAGGCAAATCCAATCCATTCCAAATCCATTCAACCAAGCTCTATGGGGCTGCCCTGGGGTTGACTGATTGGCATATTACCCTGCCCTGAGGTGGAATACCAGGGGCTTGATGGGAGATCGCTCAAGGTGCATGGAGCTGTAAAGGGAGTAGGGTCCATGTGGGTCAGGCTCACGAAAACCAGGCATACGGACGCAGGGAACGGTGCGACCACGGTTTTGTAAGACTCTTGGCAACACGTATGAAGACCCTTGAAACCGAGAGTGCGTGCACATGCAATCACATGCCCTCATTTTCAGACAACCCAGTTAAACATAGTTAAACCATTTTAGAACAGTCTTCAGGTGTCCGTGCCCCAGTTTTTGGCACTATCAAGTGACACGAACGTTCACGACAAAAAACACATGCATCGCCGTCCAGGAGAATTTGTCCAAGGCACTGAAGCTTGGCGCTCAGAGCTTTGTGCCCAACGGGTCGGAAAAAAGAACATTGAACAAGCTCCTTTCCATGTGAAAAATGCATGTTTGTTCCGATTTGTTCCCATGGAAAAAGATCAAAAACACATCCAATCTTTCATCGCCAGGATGACTTGGGACGATGAGGAAACACACCATGGATCACCATGGGACTTCTGGTTCCATCGGCTAGTCGCCTCCGTTGCGCCCCATTCTGCAGCGAGCGGAGTAGCACTCGATTTATCCGCGCGGATCGGATTTTGAGCCAAGAGTGGCTCTGTATAATGGGGTCAAATAGGACATATATAGGAGTTTGGAGGGTATATGGATATATTTATGTGTAATTTGAGAAATGTCCCTTTCATGGTGAAGTGTTTTGAGCTTTTACATGCTTTGATCCATCAAAAAGAAGTAGGGGACCATCTTGCTAATTAGCACGGGGTCTTGCAAACACCCTGAGGATGAAGAATTGGCAGCGAAGCAGGTTGTCCAGCTGAGGGCGTCATGGGGATCCCCTGCTGAAGCACACTGACCTACGACCGTTCCGATCTCCGAACTGGTGACCGTTCCGATCGATGTCAGCCAGATTAGACCTCTTCATGTGACAAGATGATGCCCAGGAAGGAACCTGGTTTCTCACCAGCCAACCGGTCCAGGTAGACTCTTGATGAATCAACCCCCCAGGCCCGAAGCTTGAGGATTCCCAAGTCAAATGGGGTGGGCTGAATTAAAAACGGTTGGGAAGATGCTTCCGCTACCAAGGTTGGACCCGCAGCTGCTGGATGCTTGGAACGGCTTGGGCGAGGCGGGAGTCGTCTTCACTACACCAACCGTGGCCGCCACAGGCGGTACGACCACCTGGATCAGTTCATGTTGGTCCTGGAAGGTTTGCAATGAAGGGCTGCACGGCATACTGTTTTTTTTTGTTTTTTTGATCCCTCTTGAATATGTCTTTCTTGATGCTGATCCTTTCTACTTTTTGATTCCCAAAACCCGGGCTGCACACCATGGGTGAAGCATGTGCTCGGCGCACTTGCGACCCGGCGTAGCAAGCGTGTGACCAAAACGAAGTATCCATTGAGCTTTGAGCATTGGACAACCCACCTTCATGCAGCAAATCCTTTGTTGGTGTCACTTTCATTTGCCTACCTGGTCTTCCTTCTTGCTGCAGGTCTATTGGAACATGCAGGACATTCCACAGGCAGGATGGCCACTGTGGCTTTTTGGAGCGTGGCCAACCTAGGTTTTGACCGTTGGCTACGGTCCTGCCAACAAGAAGGGGCCCAGCTTCGTTGCGAATGACTCTATGAGTTGGTGAAACGACATCAGGTAGGAACTGGGCAAAATGGATCATAATCAGCAACACTTGCAATGTAAAGGGAATGGAGATGTCAGGTCACTGCTCTCCATCTTCAGCCGGTCTCCCAGCCCCTTTCAGACCACTCCGGTCCACCAGCACGGTGGAACCGCACCAAAACCAGGCGCAGCGATGTTTTGAACAAGCGCTTGAGATGTGCACGCCCAATCCGGTGTGGCGCCCTGGCCCGGTCGGACGGGGCCCGTGGGATGCTGAGCGAACACCGGCGCGTTTTGAGGCCGTTTTGAGCCGTGAGAGGCTGGGTGTGTGTGTTTTTTGGAGTTCCACCCAGTCCAAGGTCTTTGGAAAGGTGAGTTACCTCACGGAATCAACATGAAACAATTATCTCACATTTGTAGCAACTCATTGCGAGGAGCGACCGGAGAATGGCGCTCCACGACCTTTGGGGGTTCTCAAATCCAACAAGATGGTCGCGCAGGGGTAGCCAGCGTGGGGGGGGGGGTGAAGCTGGGGCCGACTTGAGAGTCCAAATGGCTCATGTATCCCGGTCGATTATGACTTCCAGGTGGGGTAAAATGAGTCAAAACGGAAGTTCTGGGGTGTGAGGGGGGTGTGCGGACACTTTCGGTGATTTGTCGGAAGAAGTTGGCTGCACCCTACCAGTAGGGGATTGGCCTGAGCCCTGTTTATTGTGACCAGAAATCAAGAAGAGATCCCTTTATAGACTCTATAGACTTTAAGCTTTTGGTGGCTTTCTGCTGTGTTGCTTCCCGTCAGCCCTCAAGCTCCTCAGACCAGCCCCAGGAGTGACATACACCCAAAAACCGAGACGGAAAGACGGGGGACCCTGGGGCCCTCCGCTGTCCATGCGCTCCATGGAGCTCGGGCAGTCAATTCCGGCCAACACCCGCGCCCCGTGCGGTTCGCGTCCGATCGCTCCGGACTCGTAGCGATTGCCCTTTGCTACTAGTGACTCGTGGGGATTAGTTACGGCGTGATCTTCCCAATGCGGAAGCAGCAGAAGCCGGAGGTCTCCTTGCGGAATTTGTCCATGGCGCTTCGTGCGGGAGGTGGGGATTGGGTGGGTTTGGTACGGTGCTATTTTGTAACGTTCTGATGTAGAGAGCCAAAACCAAACCGGACAAGTGGTGCGGTGATTGTTTAAAGCATGTCATGTTTTGCATGTCGATTTCAGCGATGAGAGGCCGTACTCGCACAGGCCATTTTATATAGTTATTTTACATATTATATTTTGTTGGTTCTTTTCCATGAAGTGGTGTAACGGTTGCACTGGTAGCTGACTGTCTTCTTCTGGTCGAGCTCGTCCTAGCATGGGGTCAATCAAGGGCATCTATGACAGACATGGAGTGTTTTGGGGGTCTGTTTTCACTTGACATCTCCACCGGACGGCCCCTCTCGGCCGTCGCGAATCGTCACGACTTGTCCCGGTGCAGAAGGATTGGTCGACCTCGCGCGCTCTTCCCGCGACCGGGCTCCGCCTGGGGCGATCCAGTCAGCGACCGGGTGCAGCTGGAGGCGTTGGGTCACGGTGCCATGGTTCTACAACTGCTGGCATTGAGCGGAGAAGAGATCGAGGCCAATTCTGGGTGGGGGACTGGGAGTCACTCAGAGCAGTGTCAGAGATCTGCGGAGAGATCAGAATATATCAGAATTACACCCCCAAACTGGCGGGTGGAAGCGGGGGTAAACCGTTGAAGCATGTTGAAGCTGTACCTGGAGGGGTGTGTTTTTTGTTGGAAGACCTGGAAATCCTGGGGCTGCTGAGGAATGCTGAAGATGTTTCTTTCTCTAATAGATATCAATAGGAGATCCTATATGCACTATATAGGTCCTAGTTGCAGGGAAATCTGCAGAATTCAGGGAATGCCTTTTTCATGGCTAAACATCTACACAGTGACCGTTCACTCTTGGTCCATTGAGCCAATCCGAGAAGAACCGTTGGAACATGTGAGCGGTTCGTCTCCGCTGGCCGTCCGTTAAAGCGGGATCCGAGTCGAAGAGAGGATCCACCGAAGATAATGCAAAGCCTTGGTATTCTTTTCATCCAAATGTGTTGTTTTGGAGAAACCTTCAGATTGTTTGGATGTCAGGTCTGATGTGGATTCGGTGGATGCTTCCTGTCAAGTCCAAGAGAGATCCCGGTGATTTTGGAACGCCCGCACTCTGACATACCTTATTTAATCTGACTTTGTATAACTGTAATTGCTCAGGGATCTCGCGACTCTTAAATCATACCAATCCTTCACCTCCATTGGGAGCCAGAGCTGTTTGCTCTTGAGGTAGAGCTGGCGGATGCCCAGAGCATCAAAGATGTGATCCTTGACGCAGCGGCGGTGGACCAGAAAACCACCCCAAACGCAATCCATCTGTGGCTGTGGAAGGGGGTCAAAAATACAGACAGAGCAGACTAACACTCAACATGTTTGGAGGCAAACATCCACAGAACAACAATCGCTGTTGGGAATTATCTTTTGTCGGGGCCGTCCTTGGTGCTGACCCAGAACCTGCCAGAGCCATTGTTCTTCCACATCAATCGAATGTTTTATTCGTTGAGCACCTCCTCAAACTGACTTGGAAGACACCACTCAGAGCAAAATCCTTTGGCAGTATTTGTGCGGATTCCACCTGATCCCAGTCCCTGCATATCCCAGTCCCTGCATTTCTTGGTGATCCACTCAGGCGGGTCGATCACTCCACCCATGGGATTGCAGACTCATGAAGTCATGGTGAAGTCATCCCCCAGAATCTGCCCTGAAAAACCGAGAGAAATCATTGACCTCCAATGCTCCAGCCTTTGCTTCCTCCCCTTGTTTTGAGGATAGTCAACCAAGGGATTCCTCCATTCCGGCTCTAAGGCAGAGCCGTGCATAACTCAACAACTCAAGAACAACTATATACTTGTTGTGCTTTGCCCAGACACTCCATGCATGCCATATTAATATATGCCGCCCCATTGACCCCCCTGGCACCGCCCCAACTGATTGGCATATATGGCAGTCCCATGGAGTGTTTGGGTTGGGACATCGTTTCACCCTCCGGGACGGGGGACGCCCCAGGAGGGCGCGGGTGGCCACCAAGCTGGGCTGTGAACCTGCTTGTGTGCTGCTGGCCACTGGGCGAGGACTTGGGGCGAGGGTCCAGACAAAGAAAAGCCAAGTACTTAGCCACAAAGGGGTCTTACTGTTTTCTTATTACAGTAAGTGGTATGTCAGGAATAGGTGGGAATAGGATGGAAGATTATGGAAGAGGCATGTGCTGCAATGCAATTCACCTTTAAGATCTTTAAGCGAATGTTTGAAACGCTGGCCAACACCTTCAGAGAGACTGGACAGGTAGGTTCCTATGTTTGCCCTTTAAGCCGGACCAACTGCCCAGGTCCCCTCGGGAAGCACTGAAGTCGTGAAGGACAATCAGATGGTAGAGACCTACAATGCTTTGTGCCTCGACGTCCGCAAGCTAAGCCGCGCTTGCGCGGCGCGCGTGATTAGCAGCGCCATGGTGACCCTGTGCTGAAGACCTTTGTAGTGATGTTTTTGGATCCACCTTTCACTTTGGGCACTTCAAGGGGATTTCCAAGCTAGCAGATCACGGCCAGCCTTGGATCTAGTCTGTGGGTTTCTCTTGATATTGCGACCCTCCATTGGTCAAATTCAGTGTTGTTTTGGGTGTGTTGGTTTGGTGTGTATAAGCATTCTGTATACAGTATATATATAAATATATACACATGCGCGTGTTTCTTTTATATACATGTGTATATATATAATATATATATGTATGATATTACATATGCACCTATTAGGGCTCCAAGTGCTTCCTCAGAAGGTGTTTGGACCCCTCAAATCAAACCCACCCCAAACACCTTCCCTGAAGAATATATACAGCAATATATGATCTTGTAAGAATAGGGCTGCTTTTCGAGGAAGAGGTTCCTGCTTATTTCCAATTCATTATGAGAAGCTCCAGTGACATAGATGGTCAGTTTGATCCTGAATGCCACGCATCGCGTGCCATGCTTGTAAAAGGGCTCCTCTCCGGCTCCCAAACTACGACCGTCAGTCGGGTCGTTCTCAGAGACGGACGGATCCGTCCAATGACGCCCGAGGACGGTGATCAACCAGTCCTTTGATTCCAGGTTAATCCGATCCCTGGCAGAGTGGCCGCTTCGGGCGGTCAAGTCATGCGTGGCATTTTAACCGCGCGTGGCGCGCGGGCATGCCGCGTGCGCGGGCGTTCTTCGTGGCGGTTTTTGACCCCATGCGAAGCCAAGCATCAAACAGTTTGGGTCTTTATGTAGGGAAGGCCACTGGTGTCATCGTGATAGGTCCTTTTTTATTATAGATATGTCATCGTTACGACCAATCCGGCCATTGAGGTGTCTTGGATGCAGTGCTGTGAGGTGTCTTGCGTGGCCATGAGTGTATGATCAGATGAGGCGTCCCACGAGGGAAAAAACCCACGAGGCCCACAGAAGGCGACAGCACGAGGCGACTGCCACCTGTGGAGACCGGAGCCATGCGGTAACAGCACTGTTTGGATGCCAGCTGCGATTCTCCAAACATACCTATGGATTGTTATGTTGGTTTAAGATGACAAAACATGGGGGCAGATAATGGTGGAACGTGATCATGTTTTCAAAGCTTGCATCCCAATGCATCACACAAGTAGCAAGATGCCTTCGCCGCTTCAAAAAGCCTAGCTGAGGACTAGACGTTGAGGAGTCAAAGCAGCACTTTGGACTTGAATGAACTTGGCGTTAGCATGTATAGTATGGACTTGGAACTCGAACAATTGCATCAAGTTCTGAACATGGGCCGCACGTGTCTCAACGATTGCAGCCTGCGTCTCAGTTGGATCCGAGGCGTGTCTCATGTTTATGCATGTTTATGCTGAACACCGAGGTACTCCCCACGTCAGGCGTCCACACTCTTCTACAAGACCTCCCAGCTTCTCTATGATGGCCTTCCGGCAGCATTCGTGGATCAGGGGACGCCCGCACAGGACCCTGACCAAGCCAGGCGCCAAGCCATAGGAACTGGTGGGAGCTGCTGAGCTCTCCAAACGAAGCCACTGAGCTCTCCATGTAGCTCCGGTGCGACAGCGAGGGTTTGACTCCTGGTTTGACGTTTTGCGACAGCGAGAGGTGATGTCGATGTTGATCCCGAAATAGCTCATCTATATAGAAATGGGTTCCAATACATGTTCTACGTGTTTTCTACCTATTTGGAGACCACTATAGAGCTTGTGATCCTCCCGAATTCCTTGAACTGTACACAACTGCGATTTGACTCTGTCCGACTCCCAATGGATTCGAACCTCAGGCACCATGCTGTGGGAGCGACAAGACCGTGGCCTGGACGCAGTGGCGGTGCATGCACCAGTCATTGATGCCACCCCCATGACTTATGACAAACAAAGGGCCTCACATCATCTCATCTCATATCCACTCTCCGACTTGTACCACACTGGTACGTACTGTACCATATCATCCGCCGTACAAGTATCACACTCTCCACTTCTCATATCCACTCCCAGGTCTCCGGTACTTGTACCACACTCCGACGGATGTACGACGCGCCGTCCGGGCGGATGGACGTGGATGGACTCACCGCGCGCCACTCTGCGCCGATCCACCCGGTGGTGAGGCAGAAGCCGATCCCCCTTGAGACAGGACTTTAAGGAAAACCGAACCAAGACCACCAAGGAGGCCAGTAGGCATTTGAAGAGGGAGACAGACCCCTGGACCACTGGGTTTTGGATGGTAGACTGGTCCATGTTCATTCCTTTTTGTAGGAAGTCGGACTGGCAGGTCTCCCAAATTTAATACACACCCAGTTGCCGAACGCATCCAAACGCAATGCACGAGACGGGGTGTTTCTTCACAACCTAATGTCAACATAGGATTAAGGACCCCCCTATTAATCAAGCCCAGCTGGAGCCTCCAATAGTAAACTAATTAAAACCCTGCAACCTCCCCCTGATTATTAATCAAGCCCAGCTCCCGCAGAAAAACAGCTAATTGTTTTTATGTTTTTTTGTTATTTACATTATA